TCATGAGGTTCACATGGGCCCACATCTACAGCTTGCCCAGGTGCCTCTGGATGGCATCCCTTCCTGCTGGTGCATCAACTGCACCGCTCAGCTTGGAGTCGTCTGAGGGACACCACTTGTCACCACTTCCCGGGTGAGGCCACTGAGCCAACTCCTTACCCACCAGGTGGCCCACCCTTCAGATCCACGCCTCTCCAATTCAGAGATCAGGATGTTGGGTGGGAGTGTGCCAAAGAGATGGACGGGCAGATGGCGTCCCGTCAGCGGTGCTCAGAGCCGCCCCCCGCTGCCCCTCCACTGCCCAGCGCTGCCTCCTGCCACCAGCCCCTGCGGGAACCACCCCGGCTGCTGCTTGTTCCGCTGTGACAGTCACTAACTGGGCGCCCTTGCCAAAACAATAATAATAATAATTAAAAAATTAAAAAATCCAGGATTAATTTAATTACCTTAGTAATGTAAGCATGCACATTGCTGGGTGATGTCTTTGGAAGTTCATTGAGGGGATGAGTGACTGATAATGCGTGGTTTGTATTACACATCAATACAAGAATACTACCATTATATATATACATACATACATATATATACACTATGTATGCTCCTATATATATACTATACTATATATATGTGTACACTGAACTATATATATATACACACAATACTATAAATGCATACTATGTGTATTTTATTATGTGTATCTTCTTCATTTTAAGTCACTTTGACTGAAAACTCTGCTCATTGCACCGGTGGGACAAGTGCTGGGGGCTGCAGTGAGCGGCAGGTCAGGAACTTAAAGAGTTGCTGTTTCAGCATAACTCCAAGCTTCTTCTTGACGAGCAGCATCGTCTTGGGGGAAAACAAAAAAACAAAAAAACAAAAAACAAACAAAAAAACAAACATAAACAAGAACAAAACCCCACCGTCAAAACTAAGTTATACTACTTCCAGGTCAGACGTGTTTTTAAAGCAAAGCGATCTCATGTGTGTACAGTTAACGCCCTTCTTATGAAGAGTTTATGAGTGTAGCAGGGGTGCCAGTGGTGCCTCTCGCCCAGGCGCACTTTATTCCTCAGTCACCACTCTGAGTTTTCTGGAGGTTGTGAATTTTCTCAGCATAGAGGCAGAATTTATTTGCTGCTGCATGATCCACTCTGCTGGAAACTGTTGCAGCAGGAGAGCAAGCATCGCAATTGGTGATGTGTAAATCAGCTCCTTCCCCTGTTAAGTTCTGGGCAGCTTTTCTGGTTGATGCAGTGCCTGGGGCACCCCGTACCGGGGCTGGGGCATGCAGCCAGCAGTGGCAATGAGCACCAACCTCCTGCTGCCCGGGGCAGAGCGTTTTGTTACTCCCAACTGTTCGCTTTGAGGCTTTGGAGGTGCTGAGGGCGGTGGGGGCAGTGAGGGTTTTGAGCTCTGGATCCTTTTCAAGTGGTGAAGGACTGGAGGCTGAGTGCTGGAGACAACAATTATCGGCAGCTCGTTTGTGCTGTTTGTGGCAGGATCAGCGATCTGGGCTTAAATCACTGTGGCTTCAAAGCCATCTTCACGTGTGTGCGTGTTACCGTTTGGTTTCTCTCACACCAGCCTTGCCATTCGTGCCTTGGCTTCTCCCAGTCTGTGATGAGGCAGCGAGGCTGGGCTGACACCTTTAAAAAAAGCAGGGAGAACTGATGGCCTTTTGCAGTCAATGGAAAGAAAGACAGAATTAGTGCAGCAAAACTCTCCAAAAGGGAGCGATGCTCATGGCAAGGTCTATCCACCTGGCGAGGGAGCCCTAGGGGAGAAAGAAGGCCGGGGCTGCCTGCTTTTCCCTTAGCAATTAGCACTTAGTCTTGGCCAATTTGCCAATGGCTGACCCCCAACACGTCGGAAACGTAATCCGCTTACTTCATGCTGCACGTGGAGCCAGGCACCTTCATCCCCCTGCTCCAGCGAAGGAGCAGCTCCTCCCTGCTCCCTGTCAGCCAGCCACGCTCCTTCTGAGCCCCCCGCACTGCAGGCCCCCTGTGTGGAGGTCCCAATGGAGATTGGGGGGGAAAAGGGGCAGCAGAGTCACAGCTCCTGTCAGGGAGGCGCTGCCCCACTCAGGAGCTGCCCTCCTGGCCCCGAGTTGTGAAAGGCTGAAGAACTGGTGAGTAAACTCCAAGGGTTACTTTCTTCCCTCCCACTTGCTCTTCTCCCAAAGCATCTAGGAATCCCTGGCTATTTCTGATTTATGCGCCTCATAAAAACTAAAATTAGTGGTTGTAGGTTTAATTTCTGCAACATCTCAGGAGTAATTGTATGACAGCCTGCTGCCAAAATGCCTCGGTTTTGGCTCCTGCAGCCATGTTTCTCTGTGTTGGGTTCCCCTTTGGTTTGGGTTGTTTGCTGTGTGCAATGGCATCGACTGTGTCACTGCCATGCCCTGGGCTTGTGGCACAAACAGCCTGTGGAAATGAAGCTCTGGCTGAAGTCTTACTGCTGGCTCATGAGGCTCTGGGAGGTGTAATTGAGCAATACTGGGGGAAAAAGATTGTCAAGTTCAGTACTCCAGCTGGTGCCCTCTCCCAGACTCATCTCCTTTTTGTGCAATCAGTTATTTGGGCTTTTTTTCCCCCATGGGCTAGTGATTTGGTTTTTAATATTCATAGATGTTCCACTGATTATTTTGAAAGTTGCTGCTTCTAAGCACTCTTTAATAAGTGAAATTGGTTATTTAGCATTGTCCTTACCATTGTTTCCTTTTTAAATAAACTGTTTATGAATATTATAATACTTGATAATAATGAAAAATCTTCTACGGAGTGGTTTCATCTCTAGGATTCAGAAGGTGCAAGCCCATGGGGGGGCACCTTTGGACTCAAACTACTCATTTTACTGATGGCACTGATGTGCCACAACGCCCAGGATGTGTCTCCTGTGCAAGATACAAACTTGTGAGTTATTTATTTTTAATTACGCTCACGTGCAATGATCTCTTCATGGCAAAACTGAGCAAAGATTTCAAGGGGATCATACAAGCAGGATCCAGCAGGGCTTTGGCCACATAAACCAGACCAGAACGGACCTGCCTCCTCAAAATTTCGGTCCTAATGCGCTGCCGCTGCACCTGCCTTTCACCCCACCTCTGCCCCTCACGTGGGCCAGTCGCCTCCAGGACCGGTCCCTCCCTGGCGGTGCGGGGTCGCTCCGGTGCTCCTCGGGCTGAGGAGCCTCAGGCAAACCTGACGCGGGCCCAAGCACTGCAGGAGCAGCATCGCACAACCAGCGCAGGGGCCGGCTGCCCACGAACTCATCTCCAGCTGCAGGCAACCAGCGGGGTGGCACGGGGAGCCACACGCTGGCCGAAGGGTGCTGAAGAGCTGTTCTGGCAGTAGATGAAGTGGCGGTTCCTGCTGTTGGTGTGCCTGAACAGCTCATGGCCCCTGGCAGGTAGGTGGGCATCAGGCTGACTTACAAACCAGGCAATTAATTTTTAATTAACTCTTAGGGGTCCTTTCCAACCTGAATGATTCTAAGACCATGGAGTCCAAGCTTTAATGGATGCAGTCAGTTCCCTTACTTTCTTCTTCAAGACCATCTTTTCAGGTCTGTCTGTCTGTCCATCAGCCCCCATCGCAGAGATCCTGACCTACGTGAGGCACCTGCACACTCACCAGAAGTGACAGACCCCGGGAGTGACAGACCCCTTCCTGCAGCCAACGTGCCCATCGTCTCGCTCACCCAGCTTCACCACACCAACTCCCAGGCACTTCACGCCTCCAAGTACTGATCCTCCTTCTGAAGAGCTCTTGGCCTCAATGGCTGGACACCTCTGAACCTCGCTCTCCGCAATTAACACCCTCACCAAGCTGCCTGTCGGCCTTTATTTCCACTCTTGCTCATCAAAGCAGTGTGTTCTTTTCCTAATCCCCCGTGCCCACTTCCAGCACACACAGAAGCAAGGCAGGGCCGTCCATTGCCACCACAGATATCATCAGAGAAGGGCTACGAAGCTGGTGAAGGGCCTGGAGCACAAGTCCTGTGAGGAACAGCTGAGGGAACTGGGGTTGTTTAGTCTGGAGAAGAGGAGGCTCAGGGGAGGCCTTAGTGCTCTCTACAGCTACCTGAAAGGAAGGTGTGGGGAGCTGGAGGTCGGCCTCTTCTCACAGGTAACTAGTGATAGGACCAGAGGTGCCAGGGGAGGAGTGATAGGCCTCAAGTTGTGCCAGGGAAGGTTTGGGTTAGAAATGGAGACATTTCTTGTCAGAAAGAGCAGTCAGGCATTGGGATGGGTTACCCAGAGAGGTGGTAGAGTCACCGTCCCTGGGGGTGTTTTAAGGAAAGGTTGGACGTGGTGCTTGGGGACATGGTTCAGTGGGTGACATTGGTTTGTGAGGGATAGTTGGACCAGATGAGCTTGGAGGTCTTTCCCAACGTTAATGAGTCTATGATCACCCAGCCCTAACAGCCAGAATCTAACAAAGCTTCTCTGAACCTCACACAGCAGGCAGGCAGCCGCCTTCAAGGACAGGAGGCTCTTGCACAAGCCCTGTGACAATGTCTGCATGTACCTGGGGAGGCACCTCGGGAAGTACAGCAGGCATAGTCCCAGAAAGTAACAAGGTGCTTGGAACGAAGCTCCCACCCGAGGCAGGACACCGTGTGCGAGGTTCCCCAGGGGCTGTTTGTGCTAAGCCGTTTGCTCAGTGCTCCCAGCAGCCAGCGTGTGGGACAGGTTTGAGTCCTGGCCTTGCCTGGCAAGAACCAGTGCCTGGAGTCACCACTGTGGCACTTCAGTACACGAACATTTTGCCACATGCATTTATTTCTCTTCAGCTCGCAGCATTTTCAGGCAGGCAAGGCAGGGTGAGGGCAGGGTAATTGAAAACAAAGAGTGGGGAAGAGGAGGGGGAGCCCAGACAACACAAACAAGATTAAGTATGCACAGGTATAGAAGTAATAGCAATTAATGCTGCTTTCTGAATTAAACCACTTGAGCCGGAATCATTGAAGACCAAACACAGACAACTGCCAGCTTAGTGAAAAGAATTTATTAGAAAATGTTAAGCACTACACAAAACTAGTTCTTAGAGTATTTTTTTTCAGTAGACAGCACTCCAGCCTTCTGCTACAAACACCGTATCGTGGGCTTTGGACAGCCACTGTGCTCCTAAGACACATCTTTAGGATGAGACATTCAAGCAGCATGCACAGTGAGACAGTGGAAGGAGTGCAAGGAAAATCCTTATCATTTGCATAAGTTCACAGAAAGTATACAGTTTTGTCATTATTTACCTCGAGGCAATTTGGACTGAATGAATTATTGATACCCCAGGGGCAGCAGGTGCACTGTGCATTCCCATCACTTGCCTTCAGTACTAGTGCATGTAGTACAAGGAGTTTCAATAAATAGAAATACAGCTCTCACACTATTTTAACAAAAACATGACTACAGGGTTAAGGTACGTGCCTTCTCGGGCAGTCACACCAACAGAGACCGTACTGCTCCTCAGGAAGAATAGGAGAGTCTATGTATTAAGGCAATGAATTTTGTCATTTTTGTTTTTTAAATTCAGCATAGAATTTGTAGTGAACTGCATATTTTCTGGTAAGTTCTGAATAATTTCACTCTAAAAAATAAAGTCACTAATCACATTCTAATCTATCCCATATTCTTCATTAATGTTTTGAAATACAGAGGAGCATCACTACAGTCACTGCCCCAACAACACGGCAGCACGTGACGGCTGATCAGCCAGCCCGGAGCAGCTCTCGTTTGTGCACTCCATCCTTCCTTCCCACCCAACTTCCACCTCTCCTCTACAAGAAAAACGAGACACGAACACTTATCTGGCTCCTGAAAGGAGCTGTATAGCAAGGCTCAACTGTATAGAGTAAAAAGATATATAAAAAGTCATTAAAAATCCAAAAATTCAGAGAAGTAAAATGTAATAAAAATAAGTACGCACGGCGTGATAAACCAGGATAGACATAGCAATTTGCTACATTTTTCAAAAAGTGCTAACCAATTTTAGCTTAAAATAGTTCAAGAGATCATACAAATTGCTACCACAGTGTAAAACTGAGTATTTTGAAAAATCTAAAGCCTGTCTTGACTGTAGAAAATGTATTATAGCAGTCTCTAATTTACATAGCATTTTCATTTAGGCACACAAAAATAAATATAGACAGTCAGATGCTTCGTTAAGTCTGCAGAAAGTTACAGTTAAAACCAAGTGATCAACTGCTGTGACAAACATCACATTTGTACAGATCTCTCTCTGTATATAGCCACGTGTGTGTGCATGGGTGTCTATCCCTTAGCTCATCCTCAGGCTTCTGCAGAAGCTGCTTAGGAGGTAAGACTGAGTTTTCTGTCTAGAAAAGTTAACTTGAGGAACTACTGGCTACTAGGAGAACAATTATCAAAAACCTCTATCAATACTTTGTGTCAGGATGTTTATTCATGCTTTTGGGCCAGACCTTTGGCTGGAGCAGATGCCAGGCTGAGCCAACACTAAAGGTTGTTACCACGCAGCAGGACTGAAGGGGGAGTGCTGAAGTTTTCACTGGACCCTCAGAGAAAGGGGAAGTCTTCCTATCCCAGAGTAAATCCCAGAGAAAGGTTTCTTCCCTACTCTGAGCTGCAAGGATCCCAAGCTATTTTTCCCAAAAGGGGCTCATATTTGTCTCAGTATTTCAGCAATCTCCCTGCTGTGATCTCAGTAAAGCATGTGCTACATTAGGGGTAAGCATTCCTCTAGCATTTCTGATAACCCTGGATCTGCTTTTAAAATGCTTGTGGTACCTCTACGAACCTCTGTGTAGAAAAGTGGTCAGGGAAACAAAAGCTGCTGCACTTGACTTCACATTGTGCATTTTCAGTGATAGCAGTTTGGCAATCCATGCTACGTCCCTAGCTAACAAGGGCAAGTGTTACGCAGCCAAGCCTGGCACAACTGTCAGCCTCTGATCAACTGGGAACCTGGAGACAAATCCCTGCTTTCTTGATCCTACAGTGAAAGTAACAAGAAACTGGTTCGTGCATCTGAACATCCAACACAGAGCAACTCCCTACACTGTTTCACTAGCTACGGGCAGGATTAGACTGGAACGTGGGTTGTCAGTGTGTAGTGATTGAGGGCTTTCAGCACATAAAAACTGATCAAGTTCATCCCCACTACCTTGAAAACAAATTGAAAAACATCACAAACAAAACCAAGCAGCATAACTTTTATTTGGTGTTACAACAGATGGCGCAGTGCCCAGTGATTTTGGGCACTGAATTTCACTGTTTATGATTTTTCTTTTAAAAATCTAAACAGTTCTTCTGTTCAGAGAACTCCATGTGCCTTTTTATATACACATTGTGACCCCTGCATTCAGCCTGTCCAGTTAACACTAGAAGTATCTGTCAAGGCAATACATTTTATCTTTGCTATAATTAGGGAGAAATCAAAAGAAAAAAATTAATCTGACTGATTACATGTACTGTACATACCTGTTCCAAAACCAATGTACTTAGACAGAAGTTTCTAATTTAATGCACTGTTATTCAAGTCAAAATGCTGTACACCTAAGTATCCACACAATCGTACATTCCTAATGATTCTTCTTTACACCTTTTACTTTTTTAGACATCTGTTTTTAAAAAGGAATAAAGAAGTTGCCCTGTAGATCTATATTTCTTTAAACAAAACATTATATACTACATTGAAAAATAATTTTATCAAAAGCAGATATAAATCACTGTCATGTACAGATTTCAGTTAACGGTTTATGTTGAAATTGCACTTTGCAGATAGAATAAAATTAAAAACTGAAAATGTGTTCTATTTCCTGTCACAGGAGACTGCCTCTTCTGGATTTTTCTTCCGAGAATGTTTGTATTTGTCTACATACGCTTTCACTAGATTGGCCACTTTTGCAGAATTAACTTCTCCGCTCTTGCTATGACAAACCTACAACAGTTTTAAAGAAAAATATGTTTGAAATCCATTTGTTGATTTGCCGTTGCTTCATATTTATTTTCCCAATACCCCAGGTTTCTACATCTCAGAGTAACTCTAGAAATTGTCAAAACTTCCCAAATACTTCCTAATTCCCCTTCAACTCTTTCCAACAATAAATTACATATCCACAAGAGCTTCTTCAGCTTGTGGTAGAAGACAGACAAAGGTATTTTTGCTTTTCCTGTTCCCCCCCACTCCCCCGCAGGCAACTACCAGTAGTTCCCACGTGGTCAGAAAACCCACCCCAAGCCTGCCTCAACTAAAACATACGCATTTCAGATTTTGTTAACAGATCAACTTACTTTATCCACAGCTTTCCGCACAATTTCTTTATATTCTTCCTTAGTGATGTCTTTATTTTGGTAGAAAGGCTTAATAGCTAGCTTGACCTCCTGTGCCGCTTTTTCTTGAATTAACAATTTCTGATGAAAAAAAAAACTGGAGTATTATTTTTTAATGCCTGCGTAAATAATCTCATCGTCAATCACAAATTAAAACTTAACAGATAAAAATTACTATAAAAGACTAGAAAACTATGTTCCCTTACTCATATTCCAGCACTTGTGAGAGCTGCCTATGTTTTATTAAGAACGTAATGTTGTCCCACAGCAATTACAGTAATATCCATAACAGTACTGCTTTAAAAACTACTACTCTAAAAAGAGTCAATTCCTTGTTTGTTGTAGCCTGGAGCTGTGACAAAAGTATCACAGAGATAACAGTATTAAAAGATACACAGAGAAGAGGTACTATCAGTCATATTTTTAGTATCTCGAAATGTATGTGTGTATATGGACAACTCTGAACTTGCCTGGTCCTTCTTCGAGCTATCTGCGGTGGCTTCCACTGTCACACTTGCTTTGTTTTCTCCTGGTTTTACAGCTGGATTAGAGCTTTTGACGTGACTCGATGACGTTGCATTACCAGAACTTGGTCCCTGAACTGTTCCCACGTTTCCCAGGACTGCTGTTGGCGCAGGCAAGGCTGGAGCACTCATGTTATTACTCACATGAGCAGCATTTTGCATACCCTGTTTTAAAAAGTTATCAGGAGTTAAAATACATTGGCCTTCAGTATGACAACGTATCTTTCTGCATGTTTCAGCAGCTATTGAAAAAGCACCAAATGCTACACGCTTTGACTCATCAACTCGTTTCCATGCTGTTCATTATCGTGGAAGATACGGAAGTGATACCAGATCTACTCAAAGGGGAAAAAAAACATGAGAAACAAGGCATCCGCTGTGTTTTCAGCGTGGTTGCTAGAATCTGGCTCTGATGGAGATCCCAGCGATACAGTGTCCTGCAAGTAGATGTGGAAGGTGTTAGCACATGGGTGAAGGAACCTGACAACTGCAGAACCTTTTTGTCACAGGAGAGAACAAGAGGCCCATAGCTGTAAATCGGATTAACACCAAAAAATAAAAGTCACCACCTAAATATACATAAAAAAAACCTTAACACATGCCTGCATTCATGTCTTATAATTACACTGCTTTGAAAACATTCATTGTCATGTTTGTCACTGGCTTTAACTTCCATGTGAATTTCAAACACGTAAATACCTACGGCCTAACACAAGGGAGGTGAAATGCTGGCTGAAGCACCAGGGTCTGTTCTTAAGGAAAAGCCATTTACTACACATTTCCAAACATCACCAAAGGGTACCATGAACACTGTTCAGTTTCTCAATTTCTTCAGAAATTGAGAAATGAAGTAGATCTTGGCAACTCCGATGGATACTGTTTTTGACAAAAGCCAGGAATGTTTCTGGCAGGCTACCCTAAATGCTTCTCCCCTGTTCCACCCCAAGTAATCAGCATTACTTTTTTCAAGTCTGTGTATATCTAGATGAAAAATAATGATTGAAATCCTGGGAAAAGAGGCAGATAATCAAACTGCTATTATCAGTACACTAAAGCTTGCCAGTTCTCCATCTTCGTCTTCCTTTGAACAAGGCAGGAAAGCTTGGAGCCCTGAAGAATTTGTTAATTTGTATTGTGCTACCACCAAGGACTTACTCAATGCAAGCTCAAAGAAAAAGCAGCAGGAACTTCCCATGAACATTCAGGTTCACGGACACCATTCCACAAAAGATAACAGCAACAGATATACCAGGGGCTTTCTTAACACATACCTGTATTTTGGAGCAGTACACAAATTGCTATACAATCGTACCTATTGCTGCACTAGATGGTAAATTTTGCAGAGGTTCACAGCCTGCGCTCTGTCTTCCTACATTTTAGAAATAAAATGTACTGGATTTCCAACTGTGAAAATATTTTAATTACAGACAGCAGGCACAAATGAAATCAACAAAGAATCTACAACCATTTTAATTCAAATAGTACCTTACTGTTTTACTTTCACTATTAAAGTATTTCACATGGCCTGTAAACCCATTCAGTATTTCCCATGGTACTTCGGTTTTTGTTTGTTTGTTCCTATGTGGGTGTGAATGGTCAACAGCAGTTGAGAGTGAAAAAAAATGTTAGCCATTTATCAATTAATTTCAATTTTTTTTTCAGAGACATTGCATAAAAACAAACGTTTAGAACTTGTTGTTCTAGAACTTTTTTTTTTTTTAATTTGGAAGCAAGGGGAAAGCATTTCAGGTTACATGAGGAGGCCTACAACAGAAGAAAAGCACAAACCTCAGTCAAACCCTTACAAATCCTTTGTACATCACAGACACGGCATTACATCTTGCATGGCCGTGCATTCTCTTGGAAGTTGTTCATTTTCCTTTCCCTGATATATCAACTCCTAATATAAACAGCTGTGTACAGGAGGAGCTCACATACACAAAGGCCGTTTTAAGCTATCTTGGAAGGCACAAAGAGTTGGTCTGGTCTGCCCCAAGCACAGCCGAGTTTTTGAAACTGGAGAAATGAAGCAAGAGTTAGGTCTCAAACAAAGCATACAAAACCAGGAGAATTGGGCAAGAAGCAGCAAGGAAAAGGTACCAAAGAAAACTTGGAAATTATTAACAAAAAGGCACAAAAGATTAAACAACAGAGAATGTGGCAGTGGGGGTGGTAGTGGTGGAGCTGCTGAGACAGTGACAGCTGGAGAATGGAAGTGCGGAACAAACCGATGCCATGCAGGACTTGATGATAATTTTACTCTGCTCAAACAACATCCCAACGGATGAGAACTGCAACAAAGAGGCTGAGGTCATTTCCTACACACTGCTGGAAGAGGATTCAAGGATTTTCTACAGCAAAACCCCGATTTTGAAGGGGAAAACTTGAGATTACCTTTTTCTCCTTAGTTCTGGAAACAGAGCAAGGGACAGTACTGAATAAATTTTTCAGTGTTCCATTACCAGCTGGAACATCTCATTACCACAAAAACAAACAAAATCAGTTGTGGTGTTATGTATTATTTAAAAGCTACAGCCCCCCCAAACTTCTCATGTCCTCATGTATACTTCCACTTAAAATTTGATGTGGGGTGGGAGAGAACAGGCAAGAGAGAAAGAAACTGCAAGTATAAATTTATCAAGTATATAGAATTAAATTTAAGAAACCCTTAACTCGTGTGTTGCCTCATTGCTGCTCTTGCCAAGGCTTCTGATAAAGCATACCTGCAATTGTTTTCCATCTTGCTGTGAAGCAATGTAGTTGACTTGTTGAGATGGTGGGGGTGGAGGTGGAGGCGGAGGTAATCCCTGAGACAAATTTGTGGGAGCAGCTACCTGAACGAGAGGCACTCCGGCGTGGAGATGCATGGGCATCGGAGGGTGGATGTTGAAAGGACTGCGTTGCATGTTCATCATGGGAGGATGGACACCCACGGGGTATGGAAACATATTCATGGGTTGGTGCTGTGCGTTCACCTGCGGCATTACGTTCATCTGCTGCTGCATCATATTTACTGGTAACTGAGAGCCATCACTTTGCTGGTTGCCTTGGTCTTTGAGGTTTGGATCTGTCCAAAGAAAAACCAGACCGTATGTAAAACTAAATATGTATTTTATTAAGCAAAAAGTGGAACCACTTGTCTAAACTCTTCACGAAGTATAGAGTATCAAAGAGATTTCTCTATATGAGTATTTTAAAGATACTGCACCACATCACTCATCACACAGCACTCATCACCAGACAAATACTAGTTTGAGTTTAAAAAGGTCAGCTTACTGTGGAAGCCTGCATTTTGAGTTTTCATTTTCTTTACTTGTTCCCACAGGACACCTAATAAATTGTTCCATCACAATGAAACAGGATCTCTCCCGAAGAACAGCAACACAACTTAACTTATCCAGCTTCTGCAATTTCAGAAGTTTAGTCTTATGTTATCACATACACTGCTTTCTGCTCCTCTTTGCCCAGGTTATACACACTCACTGTAGCCATTTCTGGTATCTACAGAAATACTCTGCTGTGTGTTTTCACTGAATAATAAATCACTCTCAACAAACTTCAAAAACGTTCATATTCAGAAAGAGTTGTTCAAAAACTTTGCAATAGGTACAACAGATATAGCCTGGAAGTAAAAATAACCTCATGGGATGGCACTTCTTTTAAAAACATGGTTTTACTATCTCACTCCACCTTCAACAGAAGCTAAAATGTAAGATGTAGGTATAAACGGCGAGAAATCCAAAAAGTCAAGAAACTGGTTCTGAGAAATGGTTGATAGGTTATGGCTCAGATGCATTTCCCTTCCCTCAGAATCCCTCCCTGGAGAGCCCTCTCACCTAATTCAAATGGACTTAAAAACTTATTCTGTGCCCCAAGTCACTGCTTTTTTGTTTGTTTTCTTTTTATTATTATTATTCCCCCACACACACCTAGCCTGCTTGCTCCAGTTTTGAGAGAACACTGCAATGCTCTCATCTGACTTTCAGGTTCCAAAAGTTAGAATGACTGTTACCAAACTATAAAACATGTTACAAGATGCACAGTACTTGCAATTAAAGGTTTGATAAATTTTCCTGCAACAAATTGAAGGTTGACAAAGCTTCCTCAAAACTAAGAAGCCTTTGATGCAGTTACCTTTGAAAAGCAGAATACACAGAATGAAAGACAAAGCAAGATGACAAGGGGGAAGGACAAGTGTTTTTGCTTTCAGAACTGGATTTTATGATTTTTAAATACAATTCACACCTGCCATTTACTTCAGAGCATTAATGATCTGTGGTTGTCTTCTTAGCTATTTAGAATCTGTCTCAACTACAGTCAACTGATTTTCTACCAAAAAGTTTATTTCTATTAGGGAGCTACCTTTTAGTTGTAAAATACTCAAAAATAATAAAAAACAACAACAACTAGACTGACATTTGGAACTTAGAGGAATTTTAATGCTAAAGTAGTTTTTTAATGCTAAAGTACTTTTGCATTAGTAAACTCCTCTTTTAAAAAAATAAAGAGGGAAAAGCTTATTTAGAAGCAAGAAGCACAAATCTATGTTGTTGATCTGCACAGTCAATTGCAAATCTCGTTGAAAAAAAATAATTCCTTTTTTAAAAGGTGGGCAGATGCTATATGTGCCACACACACATATTGCAAAGTGATCACAAATTCACCCCAGTTTATTTTGAAGAACTAACCAAGTATGAAGACAACATGAATAGAATTTTACTTATCTACTGAATTGCAACCAACCTTTCTTTTAAATCTATGAGTACCTTGTTCAGATGTCTCCTCTTCTTGTCTCATTCCCCATCCAGACTGTGGGCTTGGAGAATTTCGTCCTCTTCTGGAATAATAATTCTGCACATCAGCAGGTAAAGTCTTTCTCACAGCCCAGCTGGAGGCAGATGTCCACCCAGATCTATCAGCAGGTGTATCAAAAGAATAATCCTGCTCATTCTTATGTTTGTATGGCTGATGTTCTGAGAACCTTGTAGTTTCATTCCCAGAACCATTTGAGTTCCCTGAGAGAGGTTTTCTATTTTGCCAGTGATTTTCACTCTGGTCTCCATACATGAAACCACCTCTGCCACGTCCACCTCTGCCACGGTGACCTCTCCCTCGATTTGGAATCCAACCTGAACCAAAGTTTTTATTCCAACCGTGTCCTGAATTATCATGTCTGCTGTCTTCCCAATGTGGTTTGTCTCTCTCTCTGTTCCTGCCCTCAGGAACAGAATTTATCCTTTCCATTACCCAGTCCGGACAATCATTCCTCCGCTTGTCTGAAGAACATTGTTCATCACTGTTTTTTTCTGTATTGTCCTTCTCTTTAAGATTTTCATTCTGTTTCTCTTGATCACTTCTTCTGTATCGATCGTTTCCTCTGGGACTCCTCCAGCTGTCATTTGCCCATCTCTCTTTCCATCGAGGTGAATGACCATCCCTCTCATTTCTAGAGGATGAAAACCCTTTATTTCTTGTCCTGGATCTCGATCTCGACCTAGATCGTGACCGGGACCTAGACCATCTCCTATTTCTTCTCTCTCTATCACGATCTCTTCTTTGACTATCTCTATCACTGCTTCGAGATCTAGATTTTTGCCTGGGAGATGAATCCCTAGTTCTTGACCGAGAAGATGATCTCCTACTTTCCCTGACAGTCTCCCTCTTTGGAGATCGAGATGGCGCTTTTTTCTCATCTTTGAGTGCCTCTCTTTTTGGAGACCGAGATAAAGATCTCCTTCCCTCCCTAACAGTTTCCTTCTTTGGTGATCGGGAGCTCCTGTCTATGGTTCTCTCCCTTTTAGGGGATGGTGATTGAGATTTCCTGCCTTCTCTTCTAGAAGGAGACCAAGTTGTTGATGGAGAGTGAAATCTAGACCTTCTTGTTCGAGTCTTTTTGTCTTTTTTGAGTTCTGACTGACACTCTTTTTCTTGAGGAATAGTTTCATCTTTTTCATCAGAAGGCCCTGAAACTGATGTACAGTTTACTGCATCACACCCTACTGAGTCCATTTCTCCCTGCTCTGTTGTTTCAGCCGGTGGCAACTGTTCAATGTGAGGCTCGTTCTGGTCACTGCAAAATGAGTCGCAATCCATTGGTATCATTTCATTGTTATCTTCTCCAAGATGTTTATGTTCAGCATTTACCTGAGGTGACTCCGAAGTTCTACTCTCTTCACCTTCTGGCACAGTCTTCTCATTCAAGGATTGTTCTGATGTACTGTCTGTAGGAGTATTGCTTATTAATGTATCTGGTTCTTTGTCTTGAACAGTTTTAAAGCTTTGAATATTTGTACTTGCACACTCTTCTACTGTTTTTTCTTCTGCCCCAGAATCATCTATTTCTACAGCTTCTGTATGTTCTGTTTTTTCTTCTGCCCCAGAATCATCTATTTCTGCGGCTTCTGTATGTTCTTGCAATTTACTTCTTGGGCTCTCTAATGGCTGATCTTGTTCCAAAGGTTTAGGATACTCCAGCAATTCATTTTCTGGGCTATCTATTGACTGTTGTACTTTTCTCAAAGTATCTATGTTCTCCAGTAATTCATTTTGAGGACTGCACAATATCTGATCTGATTTTTCAGATGTTGCATGGTCACATACCTCATCTGTGGAACTTGCTCTTATTTCCATTTGTTCAAGTAGTGTTTTCACAGATATCCTGATTCTTAAGATCTACGTTTTTTTCAGTAAGACCTTTTACTTCAAATTCCTGACTTTCTCCCCCTGAAGTTAGTACTGGAGGTTCTTGGACTGAAAAACTTGTATCTGCATCGCCTGAAGTGTCTTCATCTTTGCCATGTTCTCCTGTAGTTTCCTCAGTTTCCGTATGTTCATTACAGCTTTCCAGTCCATTGGCAGATTCTGTTTCTGCATCATTTTTCTGTGGAAGGCTTGCACTACTGCTTTCATTATCTGACTGCTGGTCTTTATCTACTGTTTGAACTGCTTCAGATTCAGTAGTGTCGTCATCATCTACTGAATCACTGGATGACTTTTCAGAACGTGCAGAACTTCTCAGTTTCTTTTTAGCCAGAGGTGTTTGTTGTTTAACTATTCTTTTAGACTTTCGTTTTGGAAGAGCTTTCTCTGATTCTAAAGAAGACTTATTCAGAGGCTGGTTGTTGCCATCAGGGGCACTGCATCCAGAACTGCTTGACCGAGGTGAGCTCCGAGACTGACCCAGAGTCTCATTTTTAGTGTTCCGTGCAGACCTTCTTCTAGGAGTAGTATTAACTGCTTTCCTTCTAGCTCCCCTAGTGCCAGATGAACCTGAAGCTTGTTTTTTCTCTTCTCCTTCTTGGGTACATGCAACAGCATATCCTTTGCCTAAAGATAAAGCAAAATACATTAAAGTTTAATAACGACCATTTACATAAACAGAGTTAAAAACATAAGTTTATGTTCTCCCCTTAAACAGATACTCTCATATAATGCAATGTAAGAGTCAGTATGAAACGCTGCCAGAGCTTAAGTAGCTAAATACCAGGTGTCCCCCCCAAACCCCAGTGCAGACTGACTCTTTAAAGAACAGAATCAAGCTAACAAAGTGACATGTTAGACATCTGAAGGCACATTCAGAGGAATACATACATGGACAGCATCTGCAATCACAATTAAACTACTACTGATATAACAGTATTGATATTCAAAGGCAGCCAGCATTTAAACCATTAGAAAAGCAACAAATGAAACACCTGACATTGCTAGAATATACAAATTCCTGTCGTAACATTCAGGCCCTGTTGGCAGTCAAGTGTCAATACTACACAAGTGAAGCTCGATACTCCAGTAAGATTTTCGAATGGCCATCATCAGTGAAGGATTGCATGTTGATCAGAAGTGCCAGTGTCAATATGATTCTCTACACGGTCTGAAATCAGATTTTGTAAACACTGTCGCAGATTTTAAGAAAGGCTGTGCACACTCCATGGCAAAATGGACAAATTCTGCTACAAGGCAGAGTCTTAATTTAAGATTAAATCATAATAGAAAAAATATACTTAAATTTAATACTGATTTTGGAACTATATTAATTAGAGATGTCCATTAATTTGTTTTATACTTGGTGTAGACTTCAGAAAGCATCAAGAATTTGCTGTTTAAATTCTCTCTTGACAGCTTCACTTTTATACATGAATAGTAGAAACTTACTTTTACTTAAGATTAATTGCAAAATCTATAGAAACTAATTTATCACATACCACAAACTCACTCCAAATTTTGTTTTACGTATTCTTAAATAGTTTACATAAAAAGATAGGAGTAAGACAAAACAGCACAAAATCCTCTTTCTACAACTTACTACTTTGTTAGCAGAATCAAAAACATAAATTGTCTATTAAATATAAACACAATTTGATCATTTTAAGAGAATTAACTCCACAAGCACCTCACTAGCCTTTAAAAGGCTAGAAAAGAGCACAGTACTATAATCATCTCTTCTTTGTCCTGTGTCTACACAGCAATTCAGATTCCCAACAGTAATTCGCCTGAATATGAAAAACATATCTAATTTGGAGTTTTGGAAGACTACTACTCAGATTAACACTTAAGATAATGAAAACCACTATTGATTGTATAGAAGGTATCTTGTATTTAAAAGCAAATGAGTAGTAGAGAACTCCTAAAGTAGTTTTAGATGACTGTCACTATTTAAAGCATCTTCTATGACAGCCTCCCCAGTAATTACACTAGGAAGTGACTACACTATGGTTAATCAGCAGTTACTCATCCACATGTGGCAGTCTCAAACTATGTCTTCAATACTATTATGATCGCTATGAAAACAAATCAGATATTAAATATTTGTAATGTCACTTAACATCTGTGATAATTTTCTTCAAGGGGGAAGAAATCAACTTGCAAGAATAAAAAAGATCAGAACAGAAGTGAAACATGGAAATCCTGACAGAGCTAAAAGGCGAATTATTATTGTGGCAGTTTCAAAGGCTACTTGCAAAATACAAGCAGCTTTTTAGCATAGCTTGCTACTTGTAAAATTTTCAAGAAACAACATTCACAAGCTTTGCACTTGGACAAACTGTTTTAGCTCAACAAATCTTTATTTTAAAGTACTTTAATCATGCAAAAGAACTGTATAATGTCAGCCTAAGTCATAACAGAATTTGTAGATTTAGTAATGTATTTTTAGGTCAAATTACTAAACAAGGTATTTATGTGCTAAGAGCATGTAAAAAACTGCAGCATCTACAAAGAAGATTTAGGCCATAGCTTTATGACCAGTGGTACTTGTATGCCTCTTTGGACAACTTTTCAAGCAACTATCAACTGCCACTCTGATGCTAAACTGCCTATTTTAGATATAACTAAGAGATGAGGGGAGTGTAAACAAGATGCTACAATTTTTCATGCCCAATTTACTAAGAGTCACAAGGTTATTTTCTCTTTTTTTTTTCCTATTATCTATTTTCTTCATTTCTCTCCTGTTTTTCACCTTTGCAGAAAGTCTGTGTTACCTGTTTCCTCCATCTTCTGCCTTTTTTTTCCATCTCATATATTTCCTGTAAAAGGAGAGCTTGCTCCCTTCTTCTTAACATATTTCCCATGCATCTCTTAACAGTGTTCAGGTTATGTTTCTCCTTGCTTTTGTCCTTAGCATTTGTTGTGCACCTTTATCCTCTCCTAAGCTGCTATACAAAAAACTGAACGGGGAAGGAACACTCACTCACAGAATGTGACCAAATCCTCAAAGGACATCTTCACATCCAATATCCACTAGTTTCACTAGGGAATTTGAAGACTCTGCCTCTTATTCCTGTATACTCCTTATTGGTAGGAAGTCTTCAAGTCAAATCTGAAGATGACTTAAAATTTTAGTGTGCACATATTTTAGTGTCTTTTTCACTTTGTCCACAGTATAAGTGATATACTTATATACATCAAAAATCTGAACTCTGGTTCAGATGTGGCAAAAACATATGGCAATATACAAAATATCTTTTTATTTGCTTTGTCTTTTTAGCATGGTAATTTTACACTTAAAAAAAAAAATCACACCTTTATAAGATAAGCATTCCATTTTGTCTTTTAAGTATTTAAGTTCTAACCAAGAAAAATGAAGAATTAATTTCAGTTCATATCTAAAATATTTTTCTTTTCTTTCTCTGGAAAGATTCAGATTCAAAATCTGATTCATTATCACTATTTGCACATCAATTACAGAAGTTATCAATGGCAATTAATTATATGTTCTAAATAGTCTAATGTTGCAAACTAATTTGGAGTTAATTTAAATACTCTTCATCTAGTAAGATTTTTCTTCTCTTCCGGTACATACTAACAAAGAAGCCTGACTGTATAAGTGAGAATGGGAAAGGAAAAATCAAGTCGGAGGAGCTAGCATACACACTTATGACTACTAAAACCAGAAACAGTTAAGCATCAGTAAATTGCACTGCCAAAACTCAGAGGCCTGAGGAAGTAACCTATCCATTTTTCACTGGCAAACAGGGAAGTGAAACAAGTACCTTTAACAAGAATGCATAATATTAATTAATAAAGTATCTTTTCCATCATCCTTCTACTTCTTTCCCACAATTCACTTCCTCAATTCAAGTAGGCCAAAAGAGACCCAAATCTCTCCTGCCTCTTTGCCTACTAGTAAAATGAAAGTAGTATAATTCCAAATTCAAAGAAGGCATTATCTCTGGCCTTAAAAACAGCACCCCTTTGTTCCCATTTCTTTGAATTTGTGCAGCCAGTGGGAAGAGAATCTACATTCTTGATGAGTACGGAGAGACAGGCAGTTAAAGCAATTGGAGAAAGCTAATTCTTTCTATATCTTGTCTTCTGCTAAATTCCTGCCAGATCCTGGCATCCTTCGCATGTTTTTGCCCTATAAAGCTTTCAGGTATACTGAAACAGATGCATATACTGCAGCTTCCTGACTATTCTTGTCCATCAGGAAATAGTTTGTAACACTGTATACCACTATGTATGTACGTATACTACTTTGTATACCACTAAAATATGTCAAGCAACTCAAAAGTATCAAAATGTAATTTAGACTTAATAGGAAGAGTTGCAACATGAAAGAAAATTTTGAATTTAGGAAGAGAACTAAGTTAAATAAAATACTTGTTCTTGGAGTGACTGGTTCACATTTTATATTCCAATTTCAGAAATAGGTCAGCTGGTTTTGAAATACCAAACTGCAAAAAACATATTTTTTTCCCCTTTTAACTATAACTACATGCTTTGACTTCTGAGAATCGTGTTGTAATACTACTCCACATTAGCTATAAATAAAACCTACAAAAAAAAAAAGTTTACCAAAGTTTTCCAAAGGCCTGATATTTGCTGGAAGAATTGTCCCTGCCACTGTAGCAGAAGTAATAAGAAAGGTCTCAGCTTCAGCTCCATAAGACATTAAAGGAATTCTGGAAAATAAAATCATTAACATTAGTTGTTTTAGTTGTTTGTAGGAAGTTTTAGAAACAATGCACAAAACCATTACACAAGCATGACACTTCCTGCTCCATTACAGTTGAAGAGACAGTCAAAGTCAATAGAGAACAAAAGTTTCCTTTTTTCAAGCTTACATTAAGGCCTAATCTACTTAAACGGTTTGAAGAAAGCATGCTATGTCAAAGGAACATATATTTGGCTTTCTTCAAAGTCAAACAGAACTGTAACAAGCAGCCTACTCCAAATCAGTAGGCTATACCACTGGAAATAAAATCCTGATCTAGCACTTCAATGGAAGATCTGCCTTTTCTGCAGAAAGAATGAGAAACAGTCTACAGGTCACATTAATTTAGTCACTTTTTATTTTTTTTTCTTTTTAAGCACACTAAATATGTGTTTATTCAGATTCTCACACCAGAAGAACAAACCTGGTGGAAAAAAGAATTTTTAAATTACCACTAAATTGGAATGGAACTTCCCGTAAGGAAAAACATCTGTAAAAAACAAACCCACTCGTTATTTAAATCCTACATGCCATTTTAAATTTTAATTAAAAATCTCCTTTACTTACTCAATTTTCTTTAGTCTGCTTTATGCCAGAGAAATTTAGAGGTATGTAATGAAATTAATATCACTGACTGAAACATTTTTTTTTTTACATCTGTTTTTATGCTTTTGTCTTATATTCATGAAAACACACTCAGAATACTTTTTAACACTCATCTGCTCTCTGACAAAAAAAATAATTTTATGTTCTGTTTCATTTGATAAAATTCCTCTTACAGAAGAGTGTCAAAACCAACCCATGAAGGAAGTGTGGGTAAAAGGGAATCAGAATCGATCTTCAAGTAATGCAAATATACTCTGATTCTAATGATAGAAATAATTTAAAAAACACATTTACAGTACCTTCTGAGTAACAGAAAATACATTTAAGCTCTCATTTCTGTGAAAAAGTGTCAAAGATGCATAAGTAGATGGAGTTGCTATGCTCATCGTAAGTATCAAAAAAGCACTACAATATACAGAAACTATTTACATAAAAATAGCATGCAGCAAATACAAAAGATTAGCAACTTACACACAAACATAGTTTAGTTTTACGATCAAATGATATTCTACCTGAAAAGCAATTTGAATTTAATCAAATTCCAAACTTGAAGTAATACATTAAGATCCATTGCACTATGAATACAAAACTTGTACCTTTCAACTCTAGCAAGCACAGATGAACAGGACAATTCCAGTTCTTGTCTCTTCTGCCTGATCACTGCATTGACTTCTGTGAGTTCTGTACTAAAATACAAATTTCACGCCATTTAAAATAACCTTGTCTGATTTTATAGTTCAATAACTGCTTCTATCAGTTACTAATTTTTAAATCTTACGACTTTCAACAGTTACCATGAAAGTATACAGGTATATGGTTTAGAGGGAAAAGTAAATATAAGAGAAGTCCCAAATAAACTTCTAGGCAGAGTGAATGCAAAACAGGAGATGAAATGTGTCTTTGGGGGGGGGTGGATTGAAAGATGAAAAAACTTTGTATCCCAGACAAATTAATACTGTCGTGTGCATGGCAAAAAGGATTTTTCATTTATAGACTGTTGAAAACACAGTATTTTTTTCTGAGTCTGTATTATCCAAATTATGTTATTCCAGACCATTCTTTGTCTGTTCTTTTTCTTCTACCTTCTCAATCATAAATATTTGCCATGCTCCATCTTAGGTACTAGGTTCATTAAGCAAAATTACTTCATGTACATTTAAAGTGCTCCTTTTGGAGTCATGGTACAACAGGAACACTTGCTTCTGCTATAGAACAGGAGGTTTACTGTTAACAATTTTACTAACTGCTGTTGTAATACCAGGACTAGCACTTTCCTATTCAAGGCTTCAATTTTGCAAGGACTTTAAATATCAGCTAAATTCCTATTAAATCGATGAGACTAAAAGCACATGCTTAAGTATTTGAACCTGAACACACAACGGATATTGATACAGATATTGAAGAGATATTGAGATGTTGATTTAACTGTACCAATTTTCAAGTGTTTGTGTTTATCTTTTAAATTCTGGTTTACCATGACAAAAAAAGCAGTTGAACTTCAAAATATTTCAAGGCAGTAATACGCAGATAGAAGCAGAAGGAACTATAGTATCTACAATATAGTAACTCATCACTTCATATTGCACGCTGGTATAAACTAACCAGTCATTCCTACAGCTAAGAAAGGATTCTTCATTGCTACCACCGGCCGGAAGTGTACTGTAGAAATTAGTCCTGAAGCACTCGTTCCAGCAGGTCTTTCTTCTGGGCTACAATTAGAAACATCCAAAATGAAATAATTAGCATTTAGCACATAAAGATGCATTGAAATTTAATGTCAGCTAGGCTTTAGCTCACAGAAAGTTGGCACCATAGTACCCCATAGTTTTATACTGAGATTTGCCATTACATCAAACAAGTTTGCTCTATTCAGTCTAAATTTTCAACACCTGCTCTTTGCAGATAAACTTCATTTTTTAATAGTCTTTCAAAAGCAAAAATCTTTAATGCTTCATAAAGAAATTACACATAAATAAGCCCAATCTTCACTATTTCAGAATTCCCATTTCTGCTACCTAATGAACCACAGTAAGTACAATGCTAGCACATTCAGACAGACCCCTTCAGAGCAATTCATTGCATGTTTGGTTTCAAACTAACAGGAAAACCTGATATAAGAGCTGGGATTCTTCTTTGCCTTCAGGTAGAATTACAAAATCCAAGGTTGACTGGTGTGTCTGTTTACTGCACCCTCACACAAAGAGACAATACTCAGAAGCAGCTTCACATTTCAACAGATACCACTTTCTATTTCAGTTGCTAACAATGCCTAACAAAAACATTGTATGCTAGTGCATTGCCTTTTCATTGTATTCAGAAAACAGCTTGACTCTGTTGCTATTGCTGTGCGCTGGGCTGGCTGCAATAGAAAAAAATCTGAACAATAACCCTCCAGACGCTGCTTCCAGACTATGAAACTGACACAGTTATCTACAGTGACCTGTTTTTGCCACTTGTATCATATCACCTAAAGGGCTAATGTCAACCTGAATTTGCCTGAAATGTTCCTGTTCACTCCCTACCAGTTGTATTTTAAGATGGAAACTTACAGGGTCTTTCAGTAAATATTTACTCTGAAGAAAAATAAGCTTTGTAATAAGACATATGCAAATGTGCACTCAAGTGTCTAGTCATTTTCTACAAGCTCTATCAAACTTCAAGCTTTGGCACAGAGAACTTTGGCACAGAGAACAGGGCCATGCGTTATTTCATCACTGTAAATAATAGTTAAGTTCATCCTAAAATGCTGTTTTCAGAAATGCTTTATTTTAAAGACATCCTGAATTTGAACATTAGCATTTCCATCAAAAAAGGATACCCAAGTGTCCTGTAAATACCTTTATGAAGTGGCTATTAGTAAATCAGTGCTTTCTTTCAAATTTTGAACATATATTGTATAATTGAGCTCTGTACCTCCTCCCAAAGGTTTGTGGTATTTATCTCTACTTTTTTTTTTATGTGCATTTTCTGTAACAGGTCCTGTTTGAGATATTGATGCTATTCACCTGTATAGTAAATCACTGAAAACAAGATATGAAAGTTTTCATCAATCTTGAAGCTAAATGAGTGCTCGATCTACCACTCAGCCCTATCTTTCCAGTTCAAAACCTCTTAAAATCAATGAAAGCTTTACTTTAGCTTTACATGGTGACAGAAAAAAAAATCTAAATATCTGACCTAGAAGAGGAAGGCTAGAGTTAAAGGTAGCCCTGAAAATTATGGTGTATAAGCACCAAATAAACATGACCACTCAGGCCACCAGCTACTGAAAGTCACCTGACAATGTATGTGCCCATAATATTACATGAAACAAGGCAGCAGGGAAAATAAGAACTTGAACACAGACTTCCCTACTGTTCAAACTTAGGTAAGAGAAAATAATGGACAGCAACATTTATACTTCAAAATGAAATCAATTACTTACAACTATTTCATGCAAATATATTTACAGGTATAACTATATACAGGTAATACAGGTATAATTTTCCTGTGATCAGGAAATCATTGATCACCAGCTCACGTCACAGAGACCTGAAATATTTCTGAAAGGAGGGAAAACAAATCAAACAACAGAGCCTTTATATCTCTTTACTTATTGTAAGTGGAATTTATATTACAGGTTAAAATTTATGAACAAAACAAGAAGCCTGGGAATGCAAACATTCCTTAAGTAATCTCCCGTTAAAAGCCACCTTGGTGTAAATTAGAATGTCCATGGCTTATCGGACAAATAATATTAACCAAATTACATGGTTAATTACATCTAAGCATTTTCATAAAACGAATGAAAACCTTCATATCCTTTATATAATGATACTTAGGTTAACAGCTTGCAGCTGATCCCACCTTCAGTTGATGAAGAAAGATGAAAAGAGGTTACAGAGTCTTAGGTAACAATCTAATCTAAATGAAAATACATACCACTACAAAAAGATCTGGGAGAGAACCTTATATAACCTAGCACTATATTCTAAGAGCTTCCTTCAAGACAAAACAAGACAAACTAAAAAGGTTTGGATCATACTAGAATTAACAAATAGAAAAAAAAAACACAAACTAAAAATAAGCAGAAAGGTAGTTTAAAAAAATGCTTTTATGAGAAAAATGTTTACAAACGTCTCATCATCAGAACCAACCTTGTTTATCTTCACAGACAAAGCTTTCCTGTTACGTTTGTCATACAAAATATTACCTGTGAGAAATAAGAAGCAAAATTTTTGATCTTAGCTTTAATATATTAGTTCTTAATTGCTTGTCAAAATCATTAATGAAATGAGATGGTAATTAAAATGTATCTGAAGTTTATTTACAATGTGTTTACACAAATTCAGTAAAATTAAAATATATGCACCTTCACAATAACTTTTTATAACATCAACCAGTTTTTAACCTCTTGCTTAACTTCAGGAGTTATGAACACACTCAGAACACAATACCCCCCCCCATCAACCCTCTCAAACTGTTCCCCCAAAAATACTGCCAAGTGCTTCTTCTTCCTGAACCATCAGCAAAATCTCCTGTTTCTTTGCTTATCATTAGCTGTGCATTAACTATCTGTCACAGAAAATGATTCACGCTGAAACCAAATCCAATTCACTTGTGACTGAAGCTGAAGAGGTAGTCTTGCCAGTAAAATGTGTATAGCAATGCCAAGTATTGCAACTTTATTCTCTTAAGCTCCAAGCTTCTATTCTTTGGCATTTGGTTTACAAATGCAAATGTGAACAATAATACAAAAAATTAGCCCATCAAGAAAAGTACTTCTAGAGTTCCCTAATAAAAAGCAGCTTTTCCAGCAAATGGAGAAAAAATAATGACTTACTGTATTTTTTCTTCACAACTTTGCTCAATTTTGCTGTTAAAGGCCCTCTGTTTGGACATAGAGCTCTTCTGTGAGATTAACAAAAGATATTTCAAAAGCAGCAACATTTATGGGCATACCTAAATTATGAGTATATACACCCAAACAAAAACAGTTCCTGTTTCAAGGAAGTTTTACTGTTTTACTTTACGCTCATAAACCAACATTCTGACTGCTATTAAAACCTGAACTTGTATCCAGTATATCATCTTCCATGACTTAAATGCCTCGAAAAGCTTTAGGATGAAAAGAATCTATGTACACAACAGAAGTTAATTTCCTGTATTAAATCTGAATGCTTAATTTTGCTTTATTTCATGGCAACTTGTGATATGTGTCACAAACTGCTTACATAAACATTAAAAGAATACTGAAGTCAACGGTGATTCAGAGAGTTGCAAAGATCAATCTTATTTATTTTCTAATAATAGCCAAAAAATGGTAATTTACTTCCAAGTTATCTTTTCTGTAGTGAAGTGTGATTCAAATTTAACCTCAAGGACACTGCATACATCATATACACAATTAAATGCTGGCTTAAGGTTATCACTATTAGTGAAATTTATCTGTGTAATCCCAAACTATTTTATACAGTACAAATGTGACAACAAAATCTTTCAAAACATGAATGGCATTTCCATACTTCCATCTCAAACTCACTAGACTGAAAGCTGTAGTTGACTACAGCTGTTTTATACTAAAACTTCGAATACCACCATGGTTTATTGTAACATGCAAGAAAAAAAAGCAGTTGTCCCTTTAGATAATTGAAGACTGGTATTACTAAACCATGTCCTAGCCACAAACATATTAATAAAAATTAGTAAGAAATTTGTCAGATGTGCTTGATAAAAATGCTACTTCCAGGTCTGAATGCAATAAATATGTTGCTCCTTACTTCTTGTTTGCCAGAATATTTGTTGGAAATAAATAGATCAGTAAACTTTATTAAAAAAATACAGGCTATAACATTTATAAGATTTTAACATATTTTGGATATTCCAAACTAGAATGTTTTACATTAAGTGCACTACCAACCTCAGGAAACTTCTTATCTTTGTATGGCTATATTTTTCCTTATTGCAGGCACAGTTTTCCTCTTCTTTTTTCCTTTGCTGTTGTTTTACCTGAACCTGAATTGAAAAATAAAGTCGATCCAGTCTAGAATCTCAATAAACATGGGCTTTGAATACAAAGTCTTTTAAGGTCTACAGAAAAATAAGCTCAAGCAGAAGGACTTGAAACTCTCAAATCATAGATTTGTTAATTTCTCAATGCACAGATTTCATAAAAAAAAAAAAAAAGAACAAAAACAAAACACACCTTGATACCTATATTGACTGTGCCAGAGATGCACATTAATTCCACAACTCCAAAACTCCCTGACCATTCAGCCTGTCATGGCAAGTATCTCAAAGCTATGCATTTTCTTTGATAGTTTGGTAACTGAAAAATTTTAAACTAAGTTGGTTGACCTGAATACCTGAAGGTCAGCTTTGGAAAATGCTGAACTTACATTCAACTTCAAATGCTTCCTCATCATAAAAGCAAACAAACAAAAAAAACCACCACCAACAAATAATTATCCTCTAAAATAATGCAAGTTATGGATTTCATATAACATTCCCCCTCCAATTTTCAAAATTCTGAGAACATAGAACAATCTTTATTACATACTATGAAGTTGCTTTAGTAATTACACTTTCATTAGACATTTTGTATTTCCTTATTCTAGAATCTTGACTTTATATGCAATTTCTGAAGCTATTAGCGCTGTAATTATGAATTCAGTGGCTATCACAGTGGATAAGCTGTCTATGTGCTGATATTGCCCCTGTGCCAATGTTTCTCTATCCCTACAGCCCCTTTTGACATCAGGACCCTTGTTCTTTGTCTACTTTTTATAGTGTACTTCTGCAAACTAAGAACCCTTCAAACGAAGTTTTGATATGGCCTTGGAACTTCCAAATTAAACCCTTAATTTATCTGGTTTCAGCTGCTTCTGTGATTCTTTAGAGCAGAATATACTATTTTTGGTTTTCCCTGAGAAGGAAATACCTGTGGCTGCCAGTTTGGTTGCTCTGCAGCTGACTACCTGGGGCTTCTTGTTCTGGAAGAACAAGAAATGGCTAGAGGGAGCCAGTTTGCTAAACACAGCAAAATTCAAAGCCAGCAGCTTAGGAATTACTTATAACCACAACTTTGCCACAGAGTCCCAGAGCTGAGCAGAGAAATATTAGCATTTTTCTATATGTATTTTCAAGATCATCTATCATAATTAAGTTTTATTTTCCTAATCAATAACCTGCTCTCCACAGCAGTGTTATTCAGAAGAACTGAAAGATGAAAAGATTCAGAAATTTACATTCACCAAGGCTTAGCATTAATTGTTTTCTCTTGTTTTAACTAGTTTTTCTTCTATGAATTGAAGACTATGGATGTACAAGATTGCATAGTAATTAGTCCAGCAATTACTTAAAAAATCTAGTTAAAAAAATACTTTGAGACCAATTACTAAACTTCTATTCCTGGATATATCAGGAATGCTCAAAGATACTATATATGATTAATAGCAAAATTATTATTCCTGTATCACTATTACTTCTTGTTACTATTATTATTATACTGTAACTTTTATACAGTATTGCATACGTTCTGTTTGAAAAAAAACAATTAAGAATAATTCCTAGCTTCAAATATATAATACAAACGTTGAAGCTACTATTATTTTACTAGGAAACCTTATTAAACACAGACATATGAGTAAAATCTTGCAGCATATTTTCTTGAATAGCATATAAGATAAGTCTAAAACTTACCTTTATCTGATCTTCTAACGCATTAAGCCTACATACTGCTTGAAATGGTCTGCGATCAATAGGACACGAAGCCTGTGTCTGAAAAATGATTTTTCCTATTACAAAATTTATAGTAAACTGTGAAAAACCTTAATTTTCTGTACTTTCATTCAATATTATAGTAGCTTACAGAAATACAGAAGTTCACAACTTGTTCACATTAAGAATGTATTTGCACAAGCTACCCATACAATCCAGTATTTTGCTTCATATAAGTAGATTTCTCCTTTTGGGAAAACTCAAAAGGAAACAAGAATGTAATTGAGAATTGCATTAAAAAAAAATCATTTAACGTGAAGGTTACATGAAATATTTTACATGAAGGCTTGTATTTTTTTTTAATCCCTGTTAAGTAGTTCTGGTTTTATATCAACACACAAACATTTATTTCTTAAAGTCAAACAAACAAAATAGTAGCACAGTATCAAAAAAAAAAAAAAAACAGTTCCTTGGCATAGGTGAGGACAGATGCTGTATGAGCGGTTTTTTCACTTCTCCATTTCAGAGTTCTGACAACTGTGGTGGAACTCACTGGCTCATCTCAACGTCTCAGCTACTAACCTTTTAAATTCACCAATGTCTTTTTTGACAGAAATCAAACATGGGACTCCCTACAAGTCAGTACTGTTTTAATCCCTGCTCCAACTTCTCAATCTTCCTTCCTCTCTGCCACCAATGTATTGTTTTCACAATTCTCTGCTACCTACTAGCAGGTAAAAGAAAAGTCTTCTCATATTTAGCCTTTGACTTCTACTACACTGCAGCTCTTCCGGTATCAACCCAAAAACATCAACACAGCCAGTTTCCAAATACTGCCAAAATTCCCAGTGCACTGCTTTTCTGTTGCGCGTTGCCAGAAAACATTCTGGCATTTTTGCTGTATGCAGCTTCAACAAATAATTACATTTTTTCTGCTTACCAGCTTCTCCCTCAAGTCTAACAAACAGAAGTGTAAACTGACACTCTATTATTAACAAGTAATAGCATTGGCAGCAACATAATACCAAAAAAACACAAACAAACCAACAACCCACCCACCAACCAACCACCCAAAAACCCACAAGAAGGGAGGCAAAACAGCAGAAAGAACCCAAGCTGAACCCAGAGTTCCCTCCCACCCCCTTCCTTTTAAAAATCGCAGAACTGTGCAGATCAACAGCCAACACGGTAACACCTTCCCTTCGCTGACACATCTGTTTGAATATATACACCTCTCTTCTTTGCAGTCAGCAGAGCGAATAACCTCCCACATTTAAGACAGTGGAAGTTGTACAAAGCACTTTGCAACAGAACAGAATCGAAGGTCATCTTACCCTATAGTCTGATGGAAATACAGATTTACCCCCCCCCCCTTTTTTTTTTAATGTATATCTAGCCACTCAAATGCCCACTCATTTAAGCTGCACTACATCAGAATACACAAACACAGAAAAATAAAACATTAACAACCACAGAAAAAGGAAGCTTCAAGTGAAGCTCTTATCCAGCAGGATGATGGAATCAGCTTTCAGAGAACTCCACAGGGAACTAGATGCTAGTTTTTGCTGCTATACAATTACTTATTCATTTTAATTCCATAAACGTCTGTTGGTCCCGTCCCCCCCCTTCACTTCAATGGTTCAGTTTAGAAGTCTTTAAAAAAAAAAAAAGATAAAAAACACACAACAGACACAAAAAAACACAACACCAAAACCCCACACCCAGCTTTTAATTCACTCACTGAACAAAAACCAGTATATGAAGTGTATTATTTCTGCACTTAAGACAACTGTCAGGGAATTAGGTTTTTTATTTATGCAAGCAGGATGTAGTGTTAGAATTGCATGAACAGCTATGAAAAATTTGTATATGAACTCTGCCCTAAAATTCAATGATGAACTTAATTCTTGTTTTTTCATTAGGACTTTTGTTTTTGTTGATTCTGTTCCCTTCTCAATTTCAGAGTGCCCAACCTTCTCATTCATCTACTCAGTCCCCAAACCTTCAGCCTTCAGTTGAAATCAGAAGCTTCAGGAACAAGAAACAGAGCAGAGCTGTACTGATTTATAAACCAAGAACAGCAGGACTTGCAGGAACAAGTTGTTGAACAGTAAAGGTAGAGGCATTACCCCTCCTTTTGAAGCTGTAGTATTTTACCTCAACTAAAAGCTTAGCCCTAGTGGAGGATTTTTGTTCCCTGAGGTGTCATGGCCTGTGTTAAAATAAGCCTGTTGGGCAATTAAGCCAGTTCCCTAAAGGCTCAGATTACTTAGACAGCTGTTGTCCTACAGTCAACACACAGCTACCCTACAGCAACGTAGCAAGGTGTTGTTCAACTGCCGTGTTTGATGCTATGAAATGCACTGCAACTGCTGAACCAGCTGCAAACTTCCAGGTAAGTACTTCAATTTGCAGATACATCAAACTGTCAAAGACAGGAGGAAGCATAATTTACCTAGTAATTCTCACTCCCATTTCAGGATTTAGCTTAACCGAAAGCTAAGCTTTTCCAAGACAATTTGTTTCTACATTAAATTTACACATGAATGTTATGCTCCCAAATTTAAATCCAGTTTTTATTCATAGCAGTGACATATCATAGAATACTAAGTGTTACTAACAGCAATTCGAGTGACAAGCATTTGACTTCATTAGGAAAATATTCACATTGACATGTCCAGTTCATCTGAAAAAGCATTTAACAATTACATACAGTTATACATGGCAAGAAGAGGGGAAAACAATCTAGAAGAATCAAAAGCTACAGCTAGGTTAAGGTATGTTTCTACTCCTACTAAGTTACTTTCCATAGCTCTAGCATTATCCCTTAGTTTGTAACAAATCTCAGGAGAAATTCTAGTGAAGACAGGCAGTCTCATGTGCATCCCTGCCCCATGATCTCTGCCATAGTACAATTGCTGGGGACCCTTGAGGACAGCTAGAGGTTATTTTGTCTATACTATACTACATCTAAACAAAGTAGAAATGGAAGAAAATTCCCCTGCCTCTTTTCCCAACTGGGAGACTGAATTTGGAAGGAGTGGGAGTAAAAAAAAGCTGTCTACAATTCTACAATAAAGACACATGAAGCGTGGTGGCCTTCTACTCATCTCTTTCATCTTTTTCAAGGAGATGGTTCAGTAACCAAAGAAGGTGTCTTCTTTCATTCAAGGCAAATGAACAGGTTCTCTCTGCTGAAGCTTTATCCGGAAAACATTGTAAGCAATACTAAATGTACACTGTCCTTTTGGGAAAAAGGTTATTTAAAACAAGAAAAAGTTCACACAGCAGCTATCACTTTTATTGTGCATAAGAGGGCATGCATGTGTCACAGCCTGACAAGAATTACAGCTCCATACAACATCTTCATTTAACATAGCTATCTAAAAATCAGAACAAAAACCAGAACATCAGATCATTTAATATAACGATCACAATAATTAGAACTCTGCGGCTGATATTTGAGTGGTTTTTCTTTTCTTCTCAATACCACCTTTCTTGGAGAGTAAGTACATGGAATCGCTATTTTTAGGTCTATTTGAAATAAAATAATAAAACCAAAACAAACCCACAAGATAAACACTAAGTTTTTGTAGTTGTGCTTGACAAAAGCTATTTCTAACAAAAGAAGCTGGTTTATTTTTTCTAGAAATAAAATAGCTGGATAATAAAGATAGAGAGCACATGAGAACAGATTTTAGACTCAATATGTAATCAACAAACTAATTAGTTAGAATTTGAACAACTGTTTCCTCTCTACCTACAACATTCAGATTAGGTAGCTTTCACTTCTTATCCAAAATAGCCATCTGTTGCTTCTATATCTCATAAAGCATTGGCATGTTCTATTGAAATTGTGTCTGTCTTTAGGAAAGGATGAAATAATTTATTACCTGTAAGGATTTATGAAATTATGCTAAAGGAAGCTACTGTGTGTCACTGTACTTCTCTTGATACCATTTTGTTGGGAAAACTTGGACCCAAGCTCAAAAACATTCACACTGAGTTTTACTCCCTAAGACAGATTTGTAAGCTGTTGCATGAATGCACTTCACCTGATAAATACGGCAAGAAAAGATAAATATGGCACAGAATATGTAATTTGAGAAAACGTATCTGGACTCTAGATTTTCTAAAAGACTTTGATTAAAACAGCTCTCCTGTGCAGCAGTTCTCAGATGCATTGCCTATGTATGCATTACCTTCATCAAGAAGATTTTATTTTTGTATTTCAGTTTTTAAGTTCAGGGTTTCTTTGAACACCTTGCATACTTGGTTCATGAATGTAACCCTAATTCAGCCCGCAGTGCTTTTTATTGCAGCAGATCACTGTGGAACTTGTTGCAACATAAGCTACTTCCTTCCTCTATCCTTTAGGACAAAAGAAAAACAGATCAAAAAGAATAATACAAGTTAAGAATTCCAGTTACCATACCAAACTCCGTACCCACAGAGAAAATATACATATGCAGTATATTCTACACAGTCAATGATCCAAGCTTTACTCTAGCACAAAGGTAATGACTGCTGTAAGATCAGAACATTTACTAGAAACGTAATGCAAGGCAGCTCTTTGTGCCAGTTGCTTAGTTTTATTAAGTCAGTCCCTGGTACTACACAGGGCCTGCCTGAATGTGCCTCAATGCGCCTCAATGCTTCGGAGAATTTACAGTAAAACTTACTCCCCTTCCAAATCCTCCCGATGAGGAAAAATGAATGAGGGAGGCCAAGTACAAAGATTAAGAGAGACGTGTTTAGCAGGGAAGGGTCATTAAAATCAAAGTTATTGTGCAAGAGATGTTGATGAAACAGACAGTGTGCTCAATCTTTTCTTCAGCACTCTTCCTCTTGTGATGGTTCATAAGAGGAAATACTAGAAGAACAAAGAGAGTTCTCTGGTGTATTTATTGGCACTCAAAAACAGAAGGGAAGTTAAGAAGTTAAAATGCCTGCAGTACAGAAGAATAAGTGTTTTATCTCCTCTAAGTTAAGATTGTCATTTTTGATGACAAAATAGTTTTCCTCTAATGAATACAGACAAGACATTTGCTGCTGGAGCAGCTGCCTTAGCTGAGGTTTTTAGGCTACTCTTCGTATCTGCTTCTCATAAAAAAGTCAACCTCTTAAGCTTTACTTAAATGCTTTCAGACCTGCTAGTAACAAGCTAGAACAGGTGTGCCTCCCAGTTCAAACATGAAATACAAGCTTACCATGTATAGTTTTGACCTGTTACATGAGAAACACATGTAACTACTTCCCTTGATACAACACTGCAGTACTGAAGGTGTTTGAAGATGCCAGAGCAATTTTTACACCCAGCAATGGCCAAAGCTCCCTCTTCATTCTGCCCACACAGCAATGTTATGCACGTGTTCCTTATATTGAAGGTAGCCCTTCTGCTTGCCTTCAGCACTCTCACTGAAGGCTGTGCCCAACAGCCTTAGCTCCAGATTTAGACATAAATGTTCCTCACCATTTGTGATCTTCTAACACCCCTTCCTGAAATACAAAGTCTCAAGCATGGAAGGCCACATTATGAAGTTACACGATGTCAGTTTACAGAGGCGGATGGATGACAGGTAGCACAGGATGAATCCCATTCATGCTGATCTCACCGAAACCATTCCCTGTCCTTTCACCTGCCCAGGAGTTCTTGGGAGAGCACAGGTTAGCATGGCCAAAGGCACACAAGATGACAGTCTAATAGCACAGGACAGCTTAATAGTACAGGTAACAGGAACCTACTGCACAGCAATACTCTCAGGTGCCACAATTAACTACAGTAAACATAGCTATGGAGGACAGAACAGTTCAGGCAACATTTTAAAACAAGAAAGTTCATTTGAAGACTAGCTTCTTAGTGGGGATTTTAATCTTCCCTTCATTTCTTCTTTAGAAAGTGGACACCTTTTCTCAAAAGGAAGAAAATACAGCACTAACTCAACTGTAATGCTACTAAAATCAGCAGACACTCACTTAAAAGCCACACATATATATCTTTTTACAAAAGATCTTCAGAGTGCTGTTGCTGCTGGTTGCATAAAGAAAACCTGTGGGTACAGGACACCTCCCTGTAATAGTAATACTGGAAGTCTTCCATTGCTAGAGAAGGGAGCAAAACGTCAAACACATTTACCATCTACCTAAACTACCCAGGTTTTAATTAGGACATACACAGTTACACATAAGAGCCATAAAGTCTCAGAAAACCAGTGATTTTGCACAAGTTAAAAACAGAAATTTAGATAAATGGTTGATCCTGTTATATTTTGAATTGTGGATGCAACACGGGATAGAAGAAATGCCCAACTTGAACACAGATTGCTGGCAAAGCCTCTGAGTATATGAAGCACAACTGTAGTTATGCAACACAGCTCATCATGGAATGTAAACACTAAGCAAAATCTTTAAAAATAAAACATCGAGACTCTTATCCTCGGTTTTAATATACTCCGACACCTACAGAAACAGGAAACTGTTTTAAAAACCAATTTATTTATACCAAAGAAAGAATGCTTGAACAACAACACTTACTTACTAAATACTAACAGTGGACACAAAAAATACATGGCACTAGCATGCTTTATATGGCCATGTGTTTATAATGTTTCTATCAGTCCAAGCTGTAAAACTTCATCTGTTTCTCAGAGCTGAAGCCTCTTAACGACTTAGACAGCTTTCAAAACAATAAAAAAAATAATTAAACTATGAGATTAGGCAATAGTTTCATGCACTGAGCAAGTCCAGCCATAGAGCATCCTCTAAAAGATGGGTGATTTTACCCATCAGATCTCACTAATGGAAAGACGCAGTATAAGTCTTAAGTAGCTTTAAAAACAACCCCCCATTATTTTTTATATTTAGTTCACTTGTAAACTCTTAAGAGCAGGATTTATTTTATTCTATTTGTATAGTGTTTCATGCCAAAATAAATTTGACATGACAAAATTTTTTTTTGTCAAAAGAGTTTGCAAGTGAATGATATGAAAAAGTTTTCCTTTCTTCTTTGGGCTTAAAAGCATCTGTTAGACAATGTGAACAAGTTTAAATCCAGCAGCAAAGCCTTCAGTCTACTGTACTGCTTCACTTCCCTGTGCACGTTACTGTTTATTGCCTTTCAGCTGCCATAATAACAATCAGCTAAGCAAGTTAGGATAAAGTAAAGGATGAGAATTTCTCGTTCACTGCTAAATAAAAGCATCATAATCATTTGCAGAACAGAAAATCTGGCAATAGGCAATTTAGTTAATTATCTGTTTTGTAAATATAAATTAAGTTTCATCTGATAGCTTTTATAACTTTCTGAAGATTTTATGTGGGCTTCAGAGAAATGATTTTTCTTACTGTGTATCTTCAGTAATAAAAGAACACAAAAATCAAGGTTAAAAACAAAAAAGTACATAAGTGTATTGTATATGTACATACGCACACACAAGTGATAGCAACCTCCTCAAGGAAATACTGAAACCAAAATAACAACTTCAAAAGAAACTTATAAAGAAACCACGTAGCAATCTCTCCTATTGATTCTATAATAAATAACCTATTCAAGTGCACAGAAGCAGGACAAAAACCAGCACCTCATTAGAGCAAGTGTTGCGTCCCCCACCACAATATAGCATAAAGTAATTCTAATTTGGTGCTTTATATTGACAATTGAAACTGCTACAGGAAAGTTAAAGATCCTAAAGACTTGATGCAATGACTACGGGACGTGTGAAGAGAGATTAAACAGAACAATAAATAATAATTAGTTCAACAAGTCATTCTCCTTTAAAGCTCTAGCACTATCTACAAAGGTATGACTATTATGGGATATGGGTCAATCACTATAATTAAAAAACCCAAGGTTTTATCAGGCTCGCTTTGTAAACTAACATGAAAACCAATTGGTCTCAGTCCTATGAGTTCACAGGTGAGAAACAGCATAGAGGGTAAGTAAGATTAAGTTAATGGTACTGCAGTATTATGACATGTCTGTAATACTGTCTGATGTTCTGAACAACCATCACCATTTTTTACTGATCCCTGAACTCTAGTAGCCATTAAAAAGGCAGGATGGTCGGTGAAAGAAAACACAAAGTACTTCATTACACTAAGGAGAAGGTTTCACATGATCTACATATAAAAGTGCTTCAATGACCAGTTTATATCAAGTCAGAATGTGTAACCTATTTTCTAATGCTTAGTAAAAGAAAAACACACTTTGGTTCTCAGTCTTACCTCAGCCCATTTAAGAATACAAGTCATGCAGAAGGTATGACTGCAGCTCTCAGGAACACCGATCTCCTGTTCTAGAAGGCCGTTCAGACAGATGGGGCACATGCTACCATCATACAATGAAGTAGAACAGGAACAGCTTTCTTCCTTTTCTTCACCTGGTATTATGAACATTGACATTTAGAATTTCTGACAGTTTTTGAAACAAAGTCCTCGTAGATTTGAATGATAAGGCAATAAAATATATTTTTCTGTAGTTAGAAGCATATTAATTAAGTTTTCAGGTCCAAGACAGTCAAGACACTGGCCAGAGGAATAGTTCCAAGCATATACTTCAGGTGAAAAATACTGTGCAACATATTCCACAGAACATTGTCTCACGATTCACTGTTTAAGGAAATCTAGCTCCAGTGTTATTGGTGTCTATTAGCTCTAGTGTTAAATATGGAAGCATCACGTAGTATTTCCTACTGCCCAAGGAGTCATTTACTCATTGCTCTTCTGAAATCATAATTCTACTCTCTCCATGCAGTAATTAGCCCAGCATATCCTATACTCATTATCTTCACATATACATAGTCTACTTTTATTCTAGTTTTCCAGTCTCAGAACTATTTTAATCTGACCATGCTCAAATATTTACCTAATCAAGTACATTTAACAAAATTGGGAGCATTTTTGCATAATGAAAACAGGTCCCAATTTAAACAGAAAGAGGTGAGCTTTCCTTCAATGAATTTTACTTCAATTATTTTTCTGAATAGCAATTGCCATTTCCATTTTTGTTCTGCTAGTAGAAGTCAGCAAGTGAAAAACAGAATTCATGGGAAAGTATACAGGGACTCCACAGGACAAAAAAAAATATTATGATGAGACAGCAGTTATGTTTACACAACTTCTTTCAAAACAAACAGTATGCTAATTGAGAGAACAAATGTAAAATCTGACCTTTCACAGCTCAAACCCGAATAATATACTTGAACATTTTTAGACACAGACTTTACCTTCCATGCCTTCATGCTTCTGACCCTCTGTGTCTTGAATACACTGCTTTCTGTTCCTCATCTTCTTACAAAATAAGGTCTGGAAAACATAGAAATAGTTTACACAGTTCATTTATATTGTGACTTGAAGATAAAACTGACCACTACGGACTTAATGAGTGCTCTCCAGCACTCTCCATTTCATTATACCTTTGTAGAGTAGAAACACATGACGTTAGGAGTCAGATACGGATCTTTTACAGTCTGTTTGCAATTTATGGGTATCATTAATGCTGTCTAGCAACTGATACTCGTAACTGAAAAATTGTCTTTGTTTAACAAATGCAAAGTTCTTGCAGTGTTTTAAGACCACCAACAGTGCTTTAACTTTTAGAAGTTAAATGCATTGCTAAGTTTCTATGCAAACCACCCCATTTAACACTGCAGTAACTAACCTCTTGTAAATTGCTCTTCACAAATGGTTGAAGCAACAAAATTAAACACACAAAAACCAGAAGAGTTGGTTGCTTTCCACTCCTAGCATCCCAGCGGTAGTGGAAACCAAAAAATGAAAGCAGCTTACATTTGCTTGCTTCTTGCTTTTGCCATACAATTAGAACTATTAACACCCAGGAGAGAATAAAGGGGAAGCTGCAATATCAAAAGAGCACTTCACCTGTGCTTGTCAGTGAAATGTGAGCAATGAAGAGGATGCACCTTTTAAATGTTATCCAAGGTAGTTGTACGGAGTAAGAATAGCAAGGATAGAGAATATCCTTGGGATCAACACCATACAGGTTGAAAGAACTCGCTATTGCGTAATAAACAGCAAGAATATGTTCTTTGGATGGCTCACCCACAACATGCAGAATGAAATACGTTTGGAAAAGCATCTATACCTCGGTCTGATTCTCTTGCATTTCAACCTGCTGTGGTCACACCAAAGATCCCATAAACACCTAAAGCTCCAACCCACAGCCCTAGAGAAACCAGCGCTTTTATTCTGAACTCTATAAGCTGTTTCAACTCTTATTATTTGAAAGAACCAATTAAAGCTTCACAAGGGATTGAATGAATGAGAAATGCCTAAGATTTACTACATAAGCATTCAGACCTGAACCAAGCTGACTGAGGTTTCAAGTTCCCATTAGAAGCTGCTTTTCAAACACACGCACACACACCACCCTCTGCGAAGAAGCACATACATCGAGTCAGCTTGGGGAAGGAAGGAAAGACCCCTGTTGGGGGGAACCTCCACCTTTTGGTAACCTAGAGCAGTTATCAACCCTAATATTAATACAGGCTGTGCTGCTACAGTCAATGCCACTAAGCTGCAGACAAGCTCTGTTAACAGCCACCATTGACAGAGCCACCAATAAGTAACCTTCACAGGCTAGGCAAGGATGAACCTCACCAAAAGCAGAACTGCTACAGTAAAGCTTCATGTCTTGTTCAAGTGAAATCCGCAAATCTGCATCAAATTAGGACAGATAAGACCATAAAAAACCCATATCTGAACTTAAAATAAGAGATGAAGGTCTTTTGTTTTCCCAACTGGACTTTTAAGTGGCTTTGGTTCCAAAAAGCTTAAATCAGGTGACAGCGTGCAGTATACATGTTTTATGTGTAAACAGAGACATTCCTTCTGTATGTAGTATGTGTTCACAAAACCTCAGCAATGCTTTCAAAAAAGCAAAAAAATTCATAAAAAATCCTCATTCCTAAGAGCTTTAGGATGCATCACGCAGACAAGAGAACTCCACATTGTGCAGGCATCCGCAGAAAAAAAAAAGACAGAGTTTGGATACCAAATTGTAACTTAAGGAGAAGCAGCAGAGTTCATGCTTATTATAATAGAGGTCTTAAGATAACTAAGGCAGCTCGCATAAAAAGAACCCACAGAAGCTCTTTTTTTTTTCCACAGAAAGAGCAACCTGTTCTTTGTTGTACTCTTTCTAGACTTTCTAGACACAAAAATATCCCAGAAATTCTTGCTGTGACAGTAATTTGCAAAAAACATCCTAAGATTTTGACAGAATATCAGTAAATCCAAGATGTGCACCGACTGCAAACGCTTATGCTGTGTTGCATCATTCTTCCCACAAACCTCGTATTTAAACAGGTCCTGAGTGCCACCAACACATCTCACAGATCAGCTTTTTGCCAGTTTGACACTGTACATTTCTCACAAACACAGGAATTTAATACAAAATTTATAAAGTATAACACTTCACAAAAATCCATATGGTATTTAACAAATGAATTTCAGAAAGACTATTTTCTCCACTCTTTTAAGAGGGGCATCACAACCAGTAGAGTACCAAAAGTTAATACTAAAGACCACCATTATATTTATAAAATTAAAAACAGTAAAAGAGAACTTAGTGGTTTATAAAGAACAGTCAGTACAGAAAACAGAGGATTTTTTTTTGTCCCCAGATGTGACATTCCTTTAGATTCTTTCAAATTTAAGCAAGATTTGGAAGTATTTCTAAAATTTTTCAGTGGAATTACCGTGTAATGGAAACAGCTTATTTAACCTCTCTGAATCTTATTTAATCTATTTAATTTGAGATAAAGACAAGAATACTCTGGTATATTAAAGTGAAAATAGTGAACAAGGACACTGTTACAACTACCCCTCCTCTCCCCATTATTTTAATTGAGTTAACCACGTCAGTTCCTAGGTTATTACTCATAGGAAATCCCAGTTCTTGTCTTCAAAGAAGGCAAACACCAACAGCATTTCTTAACAGAAGTGCTTAAAGTTAATTGCTGACTTGTTACCATCAGCCTAAAGAACATGGCTTCGTGATATACTTGGACATCTCCTCAATATATTACATCTCCTCCTTCTATATCACAAAAATTTAAGTGTAACTTCACCATTTATATTAACACAGACTACTACAGTGAACTCAACCTAAAATACAGATGTATTTCAACTCTAATTCACTGTGCATGCAGCAAAAAAACTTGTTCTGTTTGAAGTTGTGCATCTGTCATGTAACTGTCCCACTGAACTAAAACCTATCACATTAAAGTCTTGATTTTAGGTAGGCACAGAAAAATCATTGGACAGAAATGCACAGCAGTGCAGCAACTGACAAACGAAATTATGTCTGCTTTTTGACTAACTACAAGACAAAAGTCTTCCCAAGAACTCTTCATGCCCAGTAAATGCAACATCTTAATATCCTCTTCCTCCAATACAGCAGTGGTCCACACCTGTCTACAAAGAAGTAGATTTGTTCATTTTAGAAAGAGGGATAAAAATTAAGAGTGTGCAACAAAACCCCCAGTAAGCAAATAAAAAATTATGTCCAATACTGTTTTATTCTTGTTTCCTTAAGGGACTTAAGAAACATTTGTATACAACCTTCCAACTTCGACACGTGTTGTATCTGAATTTAAAGGAGTGATTTGTTTTGACTGTTCTGTTTCTGCAAAAATATTTTCTGTTATTTTACAAGGAGTATGGCATTCTACTGCTTGCATTTTTATTTCTTCACTAACTCAAAACACAATCTGTTTCGAAACTGAAACATGTAAGCCATACATTCAGTGTACAGAAATGCATTTGGTTAATAAAGCTACAGTAACACCCTTTACTCACATCAATTTTTTGGGGGGCAGCAAGAAGTAGGGCTCTATCCTGCCCTATACATTTTGTTGATCTTTAATAAACCTTGGAAGGAGGTTTAAGACTCTCCCTCAGCAAGCATATTTTTAAGGAAAACAGATCTTGGATGTGTACAAAACCAAAAGAGTTTTAGTATTAATGACAGAACACCAAGAAACTGCACATTGAGATCCCTCATAGTTCTTTTCATTTGGAAAAAAACTTTTAAGTTGTCTGAAGAGCCTGGAAGGTTGACTTGTTTCAAGTGACAACTCAGTGATGTTTGCCCTTCAGTAAAGGAGGACTATACTGAGGATCTGGAAGCAGTTATCCTGGATTTGTTCTTAGTGTAAAGGAATCTTGTGGCCCAGAACACCAGAGAGAATAGGGTCAATTGGTGCACTCCAAGGAGACCTTTTAAAGGGGATCTTTACTCTTTGTGTGGTCAACTTGCACCTTGTATGCATTCCCAAATGGAATGCCAAAGAGAAAGAAAGAGACCAGTGCTAAGCTTTGGAGAATGAAAAAAACCCTTCTATTGGTGGTTTAAGCCTATTCATGTGGATCCAGTCTCCAAAAGAATCGGTGCTATTCAGCCAAGGAGACACTGCTGATTTAGAGTCTTTGCAAACCCACTGAGGATGCAATTACCGAAGAGAGTTCATCTAATCTAACAGCTTGATGCCACCAAAAGCAGACACATGCCAAAGAAATTACAAGACAAAAAAAAATGGGTGAGGGAAAAGGCAGAACAGGATTACCCCTTTTGACAGCAGCAAGGTGCTGGAATAGCTAGGACTTTCTTGTCAAACTGCCCTCCTGCACAGACACGCCAGTACCTAGATTACCTGCCAACTCCATGAAAATGGAAGATACTGGAGGAACTGGTGCAATGGCTTGGATTATCTATCTTGCAGCCTGACCATCAAAAGAGCCACGGGTTTCAAGGCAGATTTAGAACCTCACAGTGGACACACAGGGCAATCATTTCCTTCCTGCATCACGTTTGTAATCACAGACTGGCTTAAGACATGCCATACGGACCTTTCAAAGTCAGGTCAAGGCAGCAGGCAGTATTCTTCGCTGAAGTTTAACAAAACAGCACCTGTAAGACACAGGTGAAACACACCAGGGCTCGCCATGGCTTTTACAGGTTGCTATGTGCTGGTACAGACCAGATCGAGTTCTAGCTTCTAGACCTTCAGTCTGCTGGGCAGGATAAGGAGCTAGCCAAGCAATGCCAGAACTGCTGTTTTATGTACAACTGTCCTGACAAGTCACACTCACCTACAAGTTCCTCCATTGCTCTACATTTCCTAACAGGAAGATACTTTTTCCATTATACATTATTCACATGCGTAGCAGAGTGTAATCATGTTATAGGCCGACTAGAAAAGTCACTATCCAAAAAGCTTCGGTACAACAGAAAACTAAGCCAGGCATGCTGCCAACCTCAAAAAAAGGGAAACATTTATATC